GCTGAAAATATATTTGGTTCATAAGAAAACAGAGTCAACAGTTGAAACATTTCAGTAGTGGACTGAGGAGCACAAACTGTCCGCTGAAATCTTCTGATATTTGTAGTGGTAGGAAACCAGGGCACAGAAATGCTTTTAGTCAGGAAGAAGGACAGAGGGAGAGCTGCGAACTGAACCTATATGCTGGTGGTGCTATTCCAGTGCCAAAACCAGACCCTCACCTGTCCTTCCCCAGTAACTGAAGATTAGATAGAATTGATCCTTCTGTTTGTCTGTATGTCACTGGGCACATCTACACATGCAATTAATTCAAAGCAATAAACTCTGGAGCTTATTGCTCCTGGGCACGCCATTGAACATGCACCCGGTGACAGCTAGAAAATGGTATTTCAAGGTTTGCCTTTGGGAATTGGCTTGTAGGTAAAGTAGATATGCATTAGAACAATGGTTCGGGGCAACAGCAAGGGTTAACTGATTTCTAAAAAGCCTGCTTTTGCCGTCAAGCCCCACTGTGTCTGACACAGGCAAGCAGCAAACAGACACACAGACTGGGAAATTGAAGACATCTTCCACACTGTTCTATAACACGAGATAAGGTGGCACCAGGCCACAGTGCCCAATTGCAGAGCCCTTGGGATTTCCAGTTTTGGGGAACAGACCAAATTAGGAGGCCCGGAAAAAGCCCAGATTAGGATGTGTGCATGTGATGGCTTTGTGAAACAAGGGAATATGCTGACAGGACAGAACGCGGACAGTATGATGACCACAGAGAGACCAATCAGCGATGCCCAGAGATGAAGAGTCATCAGAAGGGGAAAAAGATACAAAAGAAGGGATTTCAGAGCAGCAAAGGGTCCCAGAGAGGGGAACCTGAGGCCACCATAGACAAAGGGCACACCACCAGCCCGTCTCATCCAGCCCACTGGGGTGGGGGGAGGTGGGCCTTGGCCTCCAACCTCCAAGCTGCTGATATCTAACGTTCAAGAGAGAATAACAGAGTGAAGCTTGTGTACTGGCCAGACTTACCTTGACTCTGTGTAGCTCTAGGACTGGTAAACATAGAATTGTTTGCATTATTTTTATCTGCCATCATTGTGTATCAATAAAATCTGCCTATTATTGAATGGAAAGGGCGTGGTCAGTCTGAGAGTTTTGGGTCAGCCCAGAACAAGATATCTGGCTCATAAATCCAGTGCCAACACCTGCGACCACAGCACGTTGAGTCAGGTTGGAGTAGCCCCAGCTGGCAGAGGGCTCTGGGGATCAGCTTGCCATCCCAGGGCTACTCCCTCCCAGCTCAGTGTGCTGTGTGGGGCTGGTTGGGGCACAAAAGTGCATCCGCATGGGGCTAGCCAGCATGCAGCCCCTGTACTGAAGCACTCCCATGTCCCAGCCAACTAGGTCGGCATCTACACGTGTGCTGCTGCAGAGTAAAAAACCCCACAGCAGGATAGTACTCATATCTTAACTGATTTACAAGTACTATCCCACTGCAGAGTGAATTAGTTTACTCCAGCCTAATAGGAGCGGACGTGAAGATGCATGACATTTACTGCTAATTAGTCTGCTCCGCAGTAAACCTCTCACGTAGACGCACCCAGCTGAAGCAAAACCCACAAGGGTTTTCTTTTACCTGGCGATCAGGAGAGAGATAATTGCAAGTATTATGATTTGAAGATCTCATTTTTATTTTAAATAAACATCCAAATAAACACACAACTTAGGTGAATCTCTCAGGGCCCTAACTAACTGTCAGCTATGCCTTCAATACCACAACGATAAGTGCGTTTTGTCTAAATTGTGGTGTTTCTTTTATATCAGCCTTCAGCTAAACTCTGGGAAGTGCTGATGTGTGCACTGGCCACCAGAAGGTGCTGATGCAGTAAGCTGTTTTTACCTTGGCCTGGAAAGCAATGAATCTCACCTCCCGACCACAGCACCAGTGCCTCTGTCTTGGGTACCAGATGCTCCTGAACTCCAGCCAGGCTGCAGGGGTGATGCTGAGCTGCAGCCACCAGCAGGCCGGCTCCAAACCTCTTTCAGAGAACAGAGCTATTTGCTACTCTCTTCAGCTATTTAAAAAGAGACGCTCTCTGGATCAGCTCCATTTGAGCAGATGCTTCTGCCAAAACGGCATGTTGCTGCCTCTGTGGTTAAGGGTGATGCTGGGAGGATGTGTGGAGATGACTGTGGAGAACAAAGAGCCAAACAGCATAATTAATTAACAGTTATGATAATTAGGAAAGCAAAAATGATAAATAATCCCCTCTCCCTCCTCCAGGCTCCTGCTGCATCCTTCTTTGCTAATGCAGAGTGCAATGCCAAAGGAACGTACAACTCGCACGTCCTGGGAGAGCAGCTTAAGCACACGGGGAGGAAGGAGTCGGTGAAACTGTAGCTGTGACCAAGAACCTTAGGGCAGGCACAGACTGTCCCAAGACTTCAGCGCTCTCTGATAGGAGGCTGCTCTGTCTTGATGCGCGTTTCTGGTATTAGGGTTTGCATTGTGCTAACCACTGAGTGCCCATCACAGGCCAGAATCACTTTCTGCTGGGTGTTGTACAAGCATAGGACAAAACAGGTGTCTGCTCCAAGGTCCCTTCACATAATGGTACCTTTCAGCGTGCATAAGTTACAGGTATCCCCTGCCTTAAGTGCTGCTTTGCACAGTGAGGATTATGCAAATAAACTGAAATCAGGCTCATGACTGCCTCACTGTCTGATGTCACAGCTCCAGGCCCCATGCATTGAACTACTCAGTGTTACAGGGTCTCAACCTTACAGTTCACCAGACACCAGGCTACCGATGACGAGGTACATCAGACTTCAGGCGCTCAAATTCTATTTCTGGCTCTTCAGTTGATTTGCTACGTACCCTTGGGCAAGTTCCTTAACCTTTGTTCCTATCTATAATATGGCAATCTATAGAAGAAGAGTGCTTTAAAAAGTATTATGCATATTACTGCCTTGCAGATAATATCATGCTACAGCTGTCAGAGGCAGCAGGGATCTCTGAGCAAGCAAAGAACCATAAATCTGCATGACAGTACTCTTAGCGTTATAGCTGGCAGCTACTGTTCCAGCCTAGAACAACGTTTCTGTGCTTTGCTCTACTAGTTAAGCCTGCTATTAGTTTTTCCTGTTCCCCAGATGTAGCTAACAAGGGACTGTGGATTTACCACATCAGTTTGCTGGTACATCAAGTGTGATATGCTGCTTCCAGCTATGGTCCAGGCCTAATGTTTCAGAGGAAGACCAACCACTCAGTGCTCTTGCAGGAGAATGTGAAGGGCAAGCCTGTTCAGCCTGACATCCCTTATCCTAGCACAGACAACTCTGAGCACTATGTTGGACATGGGCACTTGAGCTGAAGAGTACAAGGGGAGCAAAATATGGGATTAGCGCTACTACACCACTGCCTATGCAGCGTATCTAGCTATGCCCCCACCGCTCCACCCATGCCAGGCACACTGATGGCACAAGAGCGGAAGTGTGTCTGGTATGGGTACTCCCTTGACTACATCTGTCTGAGCAGGGTGATGTAGTGTGGAGGTAAAAGAGGTCACGGCACTGAGCAGACCTACAAATGTGAGGAAGCCTTGCAAACGGCTCCAACCATCACAGTCACGAGTAGAAAGAGCTCTGCTCTGTGTCACAAACTCACTCGTCCAGTTTAAATATACACCCTCCTGTCTTGAGTGTCATTTCTTATTCCACATGCCAGAGATTTGTTTTTGACAGTGACTGGCTCAGGACATCGTTCCACATGAATGCTCTGCGTTCAGCGCCAAGTCAAAGAGTCATTTATCCTAACTGTGACTGCACTTAATGCAAGAGGCTCCACCAGTCCGATGTTAACATGCTCCCCTCCCCACCCATGCAGAAAGACAGACTCCTGCTCTAGTGAAGTCTTGGGTCCCGAGCAGCACATTGCATTTAGCCATGGGACTTGTAATCAAACCATTAAGGACCACAAGCGTGCAAGTGAAAATGGATCCATCCTGCTTCAAATAACTCTGGGTGGGACGTGCGTGCCCAGGGGAGCTTCTTGTAAAATGACTATAAGACACTACATTTTGCTCAAGTGCTTCCAGATGAATAGGCTTAAAGCAGTCCATGATGACGGTGTGGAGTTAACTCAGTTTGCCACGGTCCTCCAGTCCTATGGCAGCATCTGTAAATGGGGAAGCTTCTGGAGAGTTTCAGAGAGTTGTGCATAGAACAGATCAGGAAACCTAAAGGATAGGGTTATCTCCAGGGGCTAAATCATCTCTAGCAGAGGGAGGCCTGAACCATGAGAGTCAGCCCAGTTGTAGGCTTCAATAATACAGACCTTCATCTATTGCACTAATCTGCACCAATTGCACCTTCATCTACTGCACACTGAGAAACCTCTTCAAGCTGACCTGGATAGAGTTGCTTACCATAATGATCTCGGCTTCCAGAAATGACCGTAGTATTATTCTACTCATCTTCACGGTACATTTGCTCCAACCCTAGGTATACTAACCTACTCTTCCAAGTGGTCTTAGAAGCAGCATCCATAAACTGAAATGTGATTCAGAAGCTGTAGGTGTCTTTCTGGCCACATCAAAACCACACATCATTCCCACCTCCCACAGCAAGCTTTTGGAGCAGAAATACACATGTGATTTATTTGCAATTCGCTTCAAATCTTGAAAGGGCAACTTGGTGCAAATGCACTTCATCATAAGATGTCAACATTAGTATTTCTCTTCCTGCAACACAAAGTACCACATTACATGATATAAGAGGTTGTAATTAGATTGTGCCAAGATCCTTAAACCTGCATTTTCATTTCATCAAAGGACAATTCTTTGTACAGCTGCCAGTCTCTTTCGGGGTAAACGTTCTGACAGTGGAGAGAGAGAGAGGAGCTCAGAGTAGGGAAAAAATGAAGCCACTGAAATTCAAATTTTATTCACAGTTGTCATGTTTATAAATATATATTACATTCTTACAATCTACAGTACATTCTAAATATAGATGGATTTGATCAAAGCAACTGCGGGAGGTATTCAACTGGGCAAACTAGGTTCAGTGATTGTGAGACTTAATAATCAATGGAAGGCATGGGCAGATTCTGGCAAATAAAATACGACTGGAAAAAAATAATGAGCCAAACCTTATTGCCTTGGCACTTTTCCCTGGTCACTGGACCAAACAGATGATGCCACATTTTGAGGGCAGGTGTGCGCTTTAGATTCAAAGGGCAAGTGCTGGTATCCTACCACATATACAGACTTCTAAGACGAATGGGAGAAACAAATTCACCAGCCCGGCGCTCCTCTGCGACCCTATACATACACTCAGCACTGGATCGGAAGAAGCTTGAACAACTGAATCCGAGTAACCCAGCCTCCCTCAAACAGCGGAAGAAGATCAAAGAGCAAGTCAGTGTTGGCATCTGAATTCAGCACAGGTTACACTTACCCAAGAAACAGTGGCCAACTTTGGTAAACTGCAACATGTAAAGTGACTTCCAATTTAGTACCAATGGCTTCTGTGCTTGGTGGAAGTGGGCTGCATGGAAGTACACGTGGTTGTAAGGAAAGGGAAAAGCTATCGAACTTCCAAACCAGATGGATGCTAGTAAGTGCCCCCAGGGTAGCAAATGAGAGTGCTCCAGAAATACGACTGGGAATACAAATTTAAACAGGGAATCCAGATAAAGTGGGCTTCTTAAAAACATCTTGGTTCACTCAAACCTTTCTAGAACAAACCTTCTTTTATATAAGCAGTTATGTTGATTATAGATGATACCTTCTCCTATTTTACAAATTAATACTGAAAAGTGGCCAGCAAAGTTTGTTAACTTGGCATCTACTTAAAAAGAGAATTTCAGTTTTAATTGAATACGTGTATCCCTTCTCAGTGCTTGGGAAGTGCTCATGCTGGTCTGTAAACAACCCAGTCTTTTTTTTCTCCCCTTTAATTCTTTGGAAACTCATAACTTTACAACTACAGTAGCTGCTTTGCTCACGCTGCAATTGTTTGTCAGCTTTAAATTAACATTCTCAGATTGATGTTCTCTGCTTCTGACTTGCATGACATACTTCTTTTCACGGATCTATTTATGCCAAGCCCAATTTTTGCTTTTAACCACAGCCTGCAATATCGAACATTAGAGCCATGTGAGCTTTGTAATATCCAGACTGCGTTGGAGTTTGTTATTTTTATCGATTTCCTGGGAAAGCTCAGGGAATGAGATCTTGTTATTTTGCTAAGTCTTTTTTTTTTTTCCATGTTGCCATGCAGCACGGACCTCACCATCTCTCACTCCAAAGTCTCGGAGCGCAGAGAAGACTTGAATTGTATGAGATGTCTCCGATTTCTGCTCTCCCAGCTGGTTTTGGGTGGCTTTCTGGGGCTCCACTGAGCTATTATTCATCCGTTGATTCTTGTTTGCAAACGCATTCTTTTTTGCCCCGATACCCAAAAATTAAAGGCAGAAGGTGAGTGAAAAACAAAAGAACAAAATGTGTCTGTCGTTACACACTTTCATGTAATCTCTCCATATAGTTTTTTAGTTCTTTGCACTCCCCAAGGTCCATATCCTGGCAAACCCATTTAATATCATCCTCACTGCTCATCAGGATGGAGTTGACGCTAGGGCACCCATCGTCAGAGGAAATGGTGGTAAAGGTGGTGAATTTAACTCGTTTCCTCTTGGAGGTAGGAGAGGTGGTCGGTTCGCTCTTCTGCTCCTTCCCCTCAGTGAACACAGACTCTGGTGACTTGAAGACCTGGCCGTTAACATTTTGGGGGGCATTCGTGTTGAGCAGATACTTGCTCTCTTCGAAGTCCACCCCTCTGTCAATGGCTGTAATGCGTTCATCCTGTTGGGATGAGAAGTTAATGTGATTCTCCAGAAGCTCTGTCCTGTTGCTCAGCCCAACCCAGTCATGAGAGTGGCTCATGCCTTCTTGTTCTTCAAAGGGGACCTGCTTGTGCCTGTACTTCAAAGCAAAGGTGACGCAGTTGATCAGGAAGACGAGGATAGCCAGGCAGAAGACCCCCAACAAAGCATACATTCCTATCTCCAGGTCACTGAGTCCCCTGGGCGTCTGGACAAGGTCATTCTCCTCCAAGTCCCCGTTGTTTCGTGGCAGGTCCACCTGTGCGGGGAAGCTGGTGAAGTCTATTGGGATGTTCTGCAGGTGGCTGTCATCATCCAGAAGACTTTCTCTGTCATCTTTTCTGTTTAAAATAGACTGGTCAGTGGAGGTCCTTTTGCCTTCCTCTCGGCCCACCGAGGAGCTGCTATAATACTGCCCATCTGACCTACCTCGTTCCTGCAGCGTGCTTTTCTGACGCCGGTCGCTTGCATGGTTTTCCAGGTGGACACCAGCCCCACCGAGCCTGCTGTCACTGATGTTCAGGTTGGCATCGCTCTGTCCAAACTTGACTTTAATGCTCCCACTCCCAACAGCCAGCACGCTCTTCCTTTTGGATTTTTGGCACGACTCACTGATCACCATTTCCACTTTCACCAGGGCCCCCTGGCCTTCTGTCTCGGCGGCGATCACAGGCCATTTGAATTTAGGGTCATGATGAATGGAGACCACCTTCTCATCCACAGACGTAGCTGCCAGGGAGAAGTCTTTGGCATCATAAATATCCAGGGGCATAACAGCTCCATCACTGAACTGGATCCAGCAGCTGATGGCTGCCTCCTGTTATGCGTGAAACAAAGGCATGGAGAATAAATATCAAATCAGCCAATATGCTCTTTTCCCCCCGCCATTCCCTGCCTCTCTCTACACCATTTATAACCTGGAAAGAAATAACAAGGCTGAGCAAGAAAATTAATTTCTCATAGAGATGTTACAAAATACTAGTTTTAATCACTCACTGATAATAAGATTTGTTTTCCCCGGAGGTGCTAAAAGGAGCTGGGTCCCCTGGGCTCTGCGGAGTCTACTTCAGCACGATAATAAATTGCATGTCAAAAGGCATTACCAGCTACTGGGATCATTTACTGCTGCTATATATTTAAATGAAAAAAAAATTCTATTATTTCTAACTGCTTAAAATACAAAGTCTCCTCTTGTTATACATAACAAATGTTAAAATCGCCTAATCTAAAAAAGAAAGCCGCAAACGGCTCCAGGTCTTCCAACTTTGATTTTCCCTTCCAACTAATATATGTTTCCACACAAGCAGGGCGGGTAGGTGTGTCGTTACTTTTACTTATGGAAAATGCTCGAGGAAATGTTCATGCCTGCTAACAATCAAGAGCAAGGCAATGCTGCACCTTCCTTCTGAATTAGGACAGGACGATTTTTGCAAAACCCTGAAGTCCCAATGGAGGCACTCCTCTTGAATCCAGCAGGGGTAGGGCAGAGCAGTAATTCTGCATTGTCGCCAGACAGACAGATATGAAAAAGCATCAAGTGTTTGGGGAAGCTACAACTTGTGGCTACTGACTCAGAGAGGACCAGTTTTCAGAGAGGAGGCACTTAACAATTTCTGAATATTATGCTCTGTATGGGTCTCCAGTAGGCAGTAAAAATGGAGATGCACAGCACTTTTGGGACCTCATGAAAGTTTTGGCCTACACACATGCACATTAAACCAGATTTTCAATTGCTGTAAAGCAACACGGCTCCACTGGAATCTATTCACAGCAGGCGAGGAACTACCCTTTTACTGCAGACTACTGTGATGCATTTATTTAAAGAGTAGATGACAGACCTGGGGGGAACCACAGGCTATTTTTTTGCATTTGAATTCAACATCAATTTGGAGAATTAATCTGTGCATCTTTTTAATCATGTTGATCCTATCAGTGGTTTCCCTCTCCAGGTCACAGGTGATAACAGCTTGCTGTGTGCAGCATCTATCCTGGTTTAAATAAGGGCGTCATTCTGAGATCTTTATTCAGGTAAAACTTCCAGTGTCTCCCATGGGAGCTTTGCCTGTGTCTTTATTTCACGGCTGGGCCCTAACACTTTGCTAACACTGTTGTAAATCCTGGCTTTGTGTTTATTAATCTTTGGATATTTCCTGAAGGCCATACAAAATTTATGGCCTCAACTCTCACCCTCCCTTTGTGCTGCTTAAGCCAAATACTTTTGCACTGCTCTGTCTATTGGGACGTTGCTCTCAAATGTCACGTGCAAGGCAATGGGAGCAATCAGATGTCAATCAACCCTGGCTCAGTCTTGCAAGGGTGAAGGGTACCCATTTCTCTTTCTGGGTGATTACATTTTTGCCAGCATTCCCGTTGTGCCATTGCACCCAGAAGATGGATTCAAGCACACTCGCTTTCCTGGAACTGAAATGTCAGAGCTGTGCAGTATGCTGGGACTAAATGCCATCAAACCCAGCTTTTGAGCCGATTACAAGGTAGTGTGTTTTGTTCCCCATGTCAGCAATGGATTAGCTCGCTGGCCTTATTTCTAGCTGTGTGGCATCGATTTCTTAACTCTTGGAAGACTATGGGAACTTGATTTTTATCACCCTATAAAGGCAGCAGTCTGGTGGTATTTCTCACCCAGCAGCTCAAGGATGAGGTGTTGGTGATGAATTAGAGCATCTCACCAGCGGGCCAGAATTTAAATGCATTTACTCTGAGCTTTAGTTTCCCCTCAAAGTTCAAAACCCAGGTTTAAAGGCAAGGGTCTAATTCAGCTTTAATATATCCTTATAGCGTAAACCTCTTGATGAACAGGGTTAAAAAAACCCAGAGGCATGCCATATGCAGACAAGAGCACTAGAAAGAATGAAGATTAACCAGCACCTGATGTCAGGAGTTTTCAGACTCAATGAATTGTGTGAATGCTGTCAGGGAAGAGCTGCTCAAGGGCCAGCTCACGGGCAGATGGTGTGACTCAGAGATTATGACTGAGAGAGGCTGGACCACAATCATTTATCATGGGGCAGCGTGAAGGATTTTCCCTTTTTCGCTCTTGGTGATGGATGGTTGCATATGTAGATGTTTGTTTTATTAGGTGCTTCGATAGGATGGGGGAGGGGTTATATTGCTCATTTACGGTGTGTAATTGGGTACCATCATGTTATTTATGGGATGTGTCCTTTAGAGATGAAGAGTTTGAGCATTGGCTCTTGGATTATTGTTTTACAGACATACCGCTGTTTTGTCTTTTTATTAAGGCATCTGGTGACCTTCAGATGTGAGCACCTATAAATAAAACGACTTATGAGAATAATATGAATAAAAGGCCACCAGATCCCACCAGTGTAGGTTATGTTGAGTCCACTGGGCCTCAGAAACGGCTTCCCGTCAGCATGCAGCATACACATGGGGGACAAGTACCTGCTTCGGGGACTGAAGCAGCTCCTGTGCTACTGCTGTGGCAAAGATGGCCTTGTTGCTTCCTGGGCTGAGCTGCAGTGAGAGGGACAGTCCCGTTACCAGCTGGACTCCCAGGTCTGTGATTGTCACCTTCTCATCCAGGACCGTCACAGTCTTCTCAGCCAAGATGGCATCCGAAAGAGGAGACAGGATCTGATCGGGAAAATCAAGGTTAGCACTAGATGTTTTCGTATAGGCCCTTCACGCCATGGGAGGTACTTTAAGGCAAATAAACAATAAGTAATGCTGAACGCTAGCGACTGGATTTACCAAAAGAACATTTACACAATGTTAATGAATGTTCAATAGGTTAATGGGTGGTTTACAAAGTGTTACTAATCCACAGTGAGTAGACAGGTGGTTGACAACCATTGACTACTGTGTTTATTACTGTCCATAGCACGTGCTAGTTGTGTCTGTGATACACCCGTCTATCAGCAAGTTATTAACCCTTCAGAAACTATTCATAAAAGTAACCTTCATATAAAGTGCAGTCTAACCAGTGACAGACAAAGTTATTTGGGTAAATATAGTATCTTTTATTAAGCCAAGTCACATAGTTGGAAAAATTCTTCTTTGCAAGCTTTTGGGTACAAGTACCCTTCATCAGGCTGAGGAGATAACTGACTATTTGGGGTAGAGGCCTGGGGTAGGACAATATTCTGTAATACCAGTAAGGACATATGATTTGCATACCATGTGCTTCCTAATCCTTACCCTCTGGAAAGACAGGATGATAACACACTACGGAAAACAATCCTGACAATGACTGACACGAGCCTCCTTTGCAGTACAAGAACTGCAAAGGAGGCTCGTGTTGACCCAAAAGGATCTGGACACACCGAATAGGAGAGGTCACCAGACTGAGGCATCACTCTTCAGAGACTTGGCTGCATTTAACCATCCTTGTGTGGCCGGCTAGTATTTACGGAGTGTGTTCTTCAAATATATCTTGCTATCAGTTTCTTTCCCTTGGGATTCCCTTTTTGAAGTCACTGAAGATATTATTGTGCCTCTGTAGGGAGCAGTGCACATCCCAGAGACATGAAGGCTTCAAAACAAAATCTTCACAGAGGCTGCAGTGAGTAGGAGCCCCCAGACCCCACTTTCCCAGGACTGGCAATGTGTGTAGTAGAGGCAGAAATCCAGTGGTCCTGAACATCTTTGAGGGGCTACATTATCTCCTCACTGGCTGCAATGCCTGCTTATAGGTTTTACAGTTTGGAGTACATATAGGGAATTTATCTTTCCAGTTCTGGACCCAATGTCATCCTCTTGATGCCACGGTCATCTTCCTAATCCAGTATATATATATAGGCTATCAGACTAGGCATCAGCAAAACTATCTCAGCTCTCAGCCCTCCTACTGATTCACTCTGTGGGTTTAGGCCAGAGACTTAACGTCTCGCATTTAGACAGTGGACTTCATAGGCCCCAATTCTTTGCTAGTCTGAATTGTCTTCAATGCCCATTTCCATCAACAGAGAGTTGTCCCAGGGACACTTATTTTCCCCTTTTCTAAAGCACTTTGAGACCCTTGCATGGAACGAGCCATACCAGTGCCGCCTGCTGTTATGGCTTTGTTACTGTTCTGAAATATTCAGGATATTATGGCTTTGTTAGTATTCGGAAACATACCTGTCATCTCGATATGTATAACACACACCACTGGCATAGTTATTCATATTTCAGTCCCCATTCTTCATCCAGCCCTACTTAGTATCAGCTTTAACATTTTGCTATGTCAATTTAGGCCTTGGCTATATTAAGTTTTTTTGCAACTGGTCCCCTTGTGATATGCCACACAGTGGATCTGGTTTCACAAATCTATTAGACAAATGTAGTTAGAAGCAGCCTCTGCAGTTACACAGGCTGGGATAAAGTTACTTTCAAAGCTTGCAGGCCATTTACTTCTGAGCGGAGGCTGCTCAGGAGCTGGGAAGAGAAAGGAGTATCTCTCCTCTTCTAGTTCAATATAGTAGTTGCCCATTGGATGTATTTTGGAGGTTTTACATCTGCTGAAACCAATGGCTTCTGTTGCCAACGTGATAGCATTAGGTGAGTGACTGTGCTCCTGATGTACAAGTGTAACGGGGGAGAGGGAGAGCCCACAAGCCAGTTTCCCTACCTGAATCGTTGTCATTCCAAGTTCCTGTCCGATCAACACCTGCCCTCCTTGCAGCTTAGCGATTCGTGGCTCCTCCACTTGCATGAAGTCACTCACCAGGTCCGTGATATCAAGCTGCCAGTCAGAGCCCAGCAAATAGCTCAGCTGCCCGCCTGGGTCTGAGGGCTCAGCTACAAACTGCGTTAGGACCCGCACCATGGCATGCTGGTATTGGAGCGTGCAGCCTCGTCCCTTCCGCTCGTCCTCCTCTTCATCATCGCTGTCTCGGGCTGGTCTGGCAAGACAGCGGCAGTGAGAACCATGCAAGCCACCGCGGGGAGCTGAACATCTACCAAGAAAACTGTGTGGGGCTGCATGCAAGGCAAGAGACTGCAGCCATGGGCTGAGCACTGGGCAAGTTCTGCAACGTGGGAGTTAGATTGAGTGGCATCTGCTGCAACTCCTCCACCCTGCACAGGTAACTGGAGTTCAACCCCTGCAGCTTTTTCCTCCAGGATAATGTCTAATGCTTTCATCGAGAACGTCATGGCTACCCACTTGGATTACCACAGCTGCTTGACCTCCTTTCTAGCCAGCAGCCCCACCCCAGGTCCATCCAAAAGAAGCTGCCATGGTCATCTTCCTTTTCACCCCAGAACATGCCACAGCCCTGATTCCTAAATCACAAAATTACAAAGTGTCCCTTCCCTCTCTCATGTGGATTCCCAGAGAATGACTAGCTATTGCTACTACAAGTTACTCCCTTTGTTCAAGTAGCAGTCAGCATAGTGCATCAAAAGGATGATGATGTATGTGTGTGTTCATATGATGGACCGCTTGAAGAGTGAAAGGATGATTTCACTGTTAAGGTAAATGAATGTTGCCCCAAAGAGCTGGATTGTTCCCCTGCATCTGTCACTGTTTGCTATTCAGTTGGCTTAAACCAGACTTTTTGCGGATGTAACTAAAGACTGAAGCAATGCATATCCATAAGGGAGCAAAATCTTAATCCTGAGACTTCCTGATACTTCTCTGCAATCTTTAAATGTCTTTAGTAGACGCTTCAGGGACTCCTCATTTCAAGTCAAAATTCTTTCTCTTCTCCCTCCTGGGCCTTTTTGCCTCTTGTCATATGACCCGCCTGACCCTGTCCATGATATTTCTCACACGTACACACAGAGACACACGCACGCACACCTGTATGCTATCAGTGAAGGCATGGACACCCTTCTCTGCAGGCACATGTAAAGCCATTCCTTCAAACCCTCTACCAAAACCACTTCCGCTGTGATCCTGAGAAGAGCCCGGGTGATAAATGACGTCTTTCGGGGAAGGTAGGAATAGTTGGCACCTGTTTTATTCACGTGTGCCATTAATAATTAATACAATTCTTAGTGCCTATACATTTATACATTTAGCTGTATCCCTTGTCCATCCTTCATGTATCACTTTTCTTAGCTCCTTCTTAGCTTAGCTTGTAAGCTGTATGAGGCAGAAACCTTTACGGGGCAGATACTGGACCTACAAAGCTCGTAGGGCAGTGAGGCCTTCATCCAGAGGGGGGCCTTCACACCCTAGGGTAGCAGAAATATGAAATAAGTAAGTAACACAGTAATTTATATGCTCAATGGGCATCAGTAATAGATTAGCTGATTGGACACTATATAGCAGGCCTCAGACTAGATGGATCTGGTCTTTGGTGACATTTTGTGTTCCTCAAATGAAAACCTTCCTGCGCCAAGAGGATACTTCCAGTCAAGCTGCCGGCAAAATAAAAGGAAATTGGAGAATCTGTGCAATCTGGTTTCCACTGCCCTAATCAGTCCAAAGTGACAGCCTACTGATTATACTTCTGGTGACCTTTTGGTTTACACCAGAATTGCATTAAGCCCAAATGAGCATATTCAGATTTCCCAGCCCTGTCAGTTCCTTGGTAAGCTCACACCCCAGATTGAATATCCTCTAATGAAACCTACCTCTTATTAGAGATGATGGGAACCCTCCACCCCTTGATCTGATTTAGTTCTGTGTCAGAGACCTCGATCTGCAGCGGGAGACGAGGAACCCAAACTGTCATTTCTAATGGGGCGCTGAGATGCTGGTATGTAAAATTAACGATGACATTCACTTTGCCTTTCATTTCCTTCCCGTTGACAAAGACATAGTCACATCTGTCAGAAACCTGCAAAAGGAAGAAAGCAAAAAAGAATTAATGAGTCTTTCCACAAAATTATAAAGCACACCACATGCTGAGGGAGGGCGAGGGAGGATTTAGGTTTAAACCAGTTCCAAAATCCAAGTCGCAACAACAAGGGAGGTGCCTGCTTTGGCCTTAGCGGTCTTTATAATTTGGCACCATTTTAAGAGACAGACTTTTCTTGCCATTAATATTTCCACTTAGCTGAGAAAAAAGAACAGCTCCGTTCTAGCCTCAGTTTTCAGCCCCATCACAAGAATCTCTGCTTCTGGTTTTGATTGCATTTATTTTGGTGTATGCCTGCTGAATTACAGTCTCGCTCTCCAGTGGCCCAAACACACAAGGCTTGCACTCCCCCTCCCCTGCTTTGGAGTCCATCTAGGGAAACTGAGCAAATGCAGGTGGGGAGGTTCAAGTGGTAGGGGCTATTCAACAGGAGGCAAATTTCTATACCAAAAAATGATACCCCAGAGTGATGATAGGAAGCAAGGCTACTGACTCAGTTGGGAGTACTCTTTCCCTCTGAGTTGATACTGAGTCAACACCTCAGCACAGAGATGGGGAGCACCAATGCTTGTTGGGGTGGGTGCCATCTTTCAGGTGGGGCACAACGCTGACGTCCTGCTCTCTCCTGCTGAGGTTTCGGAGAATATTTTGTTCCTTTTGGTGCAATGCTCTCCGTCCTTCCTCTCTACTTCATACCTGCTCTGATCTGTCCGGGTCCCCTTCCCCATTATTTCTTCAGCTTCTTGAGCAGCCCCAGCCATTATTGTGTCATGACAGTTCTTGCTCCTTCTGCTATTCTCCCTTCCTTCTGTAGCTTCCCAAACTTCCACAGCTTGGATGAACTCTCATCGCAGTTCAAGTGATGTGACCATCACCTGCTTGCCCTAGTCCCCTGTATCAGGGAGAAGTTGAGTGAACTGTAGGTTAGTCTCAGATGCTCCAGTCCTTCCATTTTCACCTTACTGGAAGTTTTGTCCAAGGAAAGACAGATGATCAGGTCCCTAACAAGAGGCAGTCGAGAGATATGGCTGGACACTCCTGGCCACCGCAAAACCAACGTGCCAGTGGTTACTTTGGTGGGTCCACCTGGTCAGGGAGCTGTGATTCAAATAATTTTTTTGAAGTTGGGTAAGAATATGAGATGTCATTTCAAACTACTTCCAAGTCAAAAGGAGCTCCTATCTGAACCATCTACAATTTAAATCCTTACTGCAAGAATTCTAGGCAAAGATAAGATTGGGCTATGCCTCCTCCACCAATTTCTGCTCTCTCCTTCCCTCCTCCATGGCACCCAGCTTAGTAACCGTCCCCGTTCTCTCTTGGGGTCGCTGCTTCTCTTGGAAGAAGAGAGTTTCTGCTCAACTATCATCAGAAGATGACATAGTTGCAGCAGTCCTTCCAAGGACATGATAGTGCGAAGGATCTTGGGCAGGCAAATCTTGCTGTAGTTGACCAAGCACAAACAAGGACCTCTAGTTCCTTTGAAGGACTGGTCAAGTTGGTCAAACCCTGAAAATAGAGAAGAAGAGTCTAGGACTGGACAGCTGATGAATGTCCCGGTCAGTCTCGGTGCTACCCTGATGTCCTTGCAAATAAAACCTTAGACGACAACTTTTCTAGCTTATCCCTTAGGCTCAAGTAGTTGATTGTAGTCCTTTGATGACTAACTGGATGCTAAAGCAGTGCAGCTGGGGTCAGCGGAGAACTGATGGGAAGTATCACCATACACTCAGGAAAAAGGGACATCTGATGTCCTAAAGCAGAGTGTGGGAGTGTATGCCGATATCTCTTCTGCAGGTCTGAAAAGGGGCTTACGCAATGTCCTCACCAAGCTGTCCTGATATCACTTTATTTATAACCTGCAGCGCTGGCCATCAATATTGTTGAGAGTTACTAAATCTCATGCAAGCGATTTAGCAGCTATTGCAAGTGTCTAGGTGAGCTGACAAGACCTGTTCATTACAGCTAGTTAAAATATATGAGTAAATGTACATGTCAAATAATTTATTAACTACCACTTTAAACTGCTGATGATCTGAAGGAATGATCTATTAAAACCCTGAACTCTTTTCACAATCCATTACCAGCCAGACCTTCTATTCCATTATGTGGATATATTTTAATATTTCTGACTCTAGAATGTATAATCTCACACTTATCTGAATTTAATGCCATTTTCAACTTTTCTCTTTAAATACTGAATGAATTTAAATCTTATTTAAAGATCACCAGCTTTTGGGCCATAATTTGCATTCCTAATATTTATTGTTTAAAATAAAAGCTGGGGTTAACAGCAATGCTTTTCCCACGTTTTTTGTTGCTCCTACATAAAACAACACGAAACCCAAAACTTCATGAGTAGTTACTTGCTCTGGGATATTAAATTTTCAGGCCAAGTCTGAGGACAGGCCTTGCTGTTAGGCTACATTCTGCCCTTGCTAGCAGCTCCTATTGACTAAAGTGGGACAGTAAGAGTAAGCAGCATCTATATGATGGTTTTGAGGTATCACTGCTTCACCTAAAAACCCCTATCATGGATCAGGCTCCATTATGCTATTGAACAGACATGTCACTACCACAGAAAGCTCACAGTCTAGGATCATATAGCACTTATGTTATAATACGGGTAACAGCTGCAAGGCTTGCTCGGCTGTAAGCTGAGTGGGTGAGCTGTGCCTAAGAACTTTGCAAAAAGGGGGCCAGACAGCTTGTAGACGGTGCAATAGCTTTTCCAGACAGGACAGTATGCCGTGCACAGTGCATGGTTTTTATCGGATCGTTTGAACTGTGACTAGCGCCCCCCCACTGCAAACCAAGGGCTCTGATTGGCTGTTAATACGCCAGAAAAAAAAGCGGAGGGGGGAAAAGAGGAGAGGAGGAGCCAACTCCAGCCTGGAGAAAGGGGACAGAGACTCATTCCCCTCCAGGGAAAAGGGAGCTGAAACCTGCCTGGGGCATATCAGCCCATGTGGGGCCGGGGGGTGGCGAGCAAGGGGGGGTGCAAGCGACCAGAGTGCGGAGCTGGTGGCACATGGCACCTCAGTTAGCAAATCTGCTTGATGGAGGGGGTGGTTCCCATGGCTACTGGCACACTTAGGATCCAAAATCCGGCACATCACCTGGCCTAGCATGCCAACATGCTAGGCCAGCATGGGTTACATGTAGGACTTTGGAAGAGGCCCATGACTGAAAACACGAGGAGCTCTCATTCTGTTAGGGTCTTGGATACTACCTTCGTATCTATTTTAACAATAATAATCCTGGGCACTTAAATGATAAGCACAACACCAATTATTTATGGTGCGCTGAGGTCTCATGATGGGCAATTCACAACAGGAGACTGGCTTGATGAGAAGACCCAAGTCCTTCAGAGCATAGTGCTGGTGTGTGCTTCAATTGTGGAAAACTGAGGCAGGTGATAACATTCAAACCTCACTGAGGCCTGGGTCGAAGTCTGACCTGCATTCACACCTGCACCTCTCCCAGGAAGCTGGGTGGTAGAGGGACAAGTATAGGTGAAGAGTGAAATTTTTCAACCAGCTTTTGCTGGGGGTGATAAGAAGCTACACAGCTTTGTGATAGACCATGTCGCGGGATGTGAAAACATCTACAGGGAAGGTTGGAGGGGTATGTCCTCTGCAGTGCTCCTTTGTTTGCTGTGCAAAAAAAGGGTGCTGCCTTGGAAGTACTATGCTCACATGAATTGCATTGTTTTTCCTACCTCCATTTCACAGTATCCCATCTGCCAGGGAGGAGAGCCCAGGACCTCCTATGCCTATGTCCTACTTTGGGTATTTCCCATGCTTCTGGGCATTCATGGTTGCTCCTGCCCCCGCATTGTCTGCTACACATCAGGGTGTTTTTAAGCCTTCCTTAGAGGCATAGGGTGTGGGCTACAGCCAAGTCTGGGGATTTTGACTGCGGTGTGCCAATGCTCTTGCTGGAAGTTCATGGCTAGAGAGTCTTGCCCCTCCACTCAGGATAGGACCGAATGCCAGACCTGGGGTCAGGAAGACATTTTCCCTTATGGTCAGATTGCTATGGACTGGTGCGGGAGGTCTACCTTCCTCTGTAGCAAGAGGCATGGCTTTTTACCCGGGATCTCTTGAGCATATATGGAGAACGTTTCATGGAAGCATGACGTTGGCTGCTGCGGTTGACCTGCTTTCCCTGTGGCAGGTTAGGGTGTTAAGTCTGTGCCGTATCTGGGTTGATGGTCCTCTTATGTAGAGTTTAGATTCTGGGTTGTATAGGATGGTTTGGAGAGGGGTGCAGGGTGGGACTAGATGACCTCTTTCCAGCCCTACTTCTCTATGACTCTGACCTCAGGCACCGACCAGCAAGACTGCTCTTACGCTGTCACGTCCTGTTCCTTTGCCTCCACAGGAGAGGATCTTCTACTCCTTGGTAGTGTTGCACTTTCCTCCCAGTGCTTCTTTGTGTTTTAAGTGACACTCTGGAAGCAGAAAAATCTCTCGTGTGCTAATAAGCTTCATGTGCTGTGCTCTGGCTTTCTCTTTTTTTTTTTTTTTTTTTCCCCTGGGATGCCAG